TACCTCATGGTTTTTCACTAATAAAAAAAGAAAAAAAATCTTAAAGCCAAAAAAAATGCATAAATAGGAGACAGAGCAACAGTACAGCAGGTAAGGCACTTTCCTTGTACACAGCCAACCTGAGTTCAATGCCTAGCACCGCATATGGCCCCATGAATACTGCCAGGAGTCATTCCTGAGTACAGGGTCAGGAGTTAGTCCTGAGCACTGCTGGGCATGGGCCCAAAACCATAAGCAAATAATTCAAATTACTGTAAAGGATAAAGAAAATGTGTTTTATGGCCAGAATGTAAAACTTCTGAGCTATAATATATATATATATGTGTGTGTGTGTGTGTGTGTGTGTGTGTGTGTGTGTGTGTAAGTATAAGGCACACTGCCATTTATAACAACCTCAGTGGAACCAGAGGACAACACTGCACTAAGTGACATGTTGGACAGAGTAAAACACCATCTGATTCCCTTCAAATGTGGTAAAGCAACAAAACACAAATAAATTCAACTAAAATTCAACAAAACCAAACTTTCTGTCAATGAGAACTAGCATCATTATTTGAAAGAATGGGAGGGGGAGACGAATGACTCTGGTCAAATTGGTCAAGTAGCACACTGATGAGTGGAAAATAGAATTCTGGTTGGAAACATCATGTAGCATATAGATGTTGATTTCAAAGGCTATGTGCCTGAAATCTATATAATGTTACAAACCAACATTACTTCAATCAATAATTTTTTAACTTGAAAGATGAAGGTTAATTTAAATGTAAGTGGAACCTCTGAGATATATATTGAAAATCCATACTTGTACTTCTAAGAAAGGTTAGGGCCATGAGTCTGAGAATATATGATAATTAAATGTGATGCAGTTAGTGGGCATGTGATCTTGGCACACAACAGGATGGGAGATACAAACTAAGGGAAACCAAGGACATTAGGGAAGACAGTTAATGGCAACGTGTCAGTATTGGTTCATTAATTGCCGCAAGAGTGCCACAGAACTGCAAACAGAAGCCAGTGTTAGACAAATGCTGGAAAAGGAGTAGGTTAGAATTTGAATTTTTCTATAAATTATTCTTCACCACAAAGTCAATTATAAAAGCAAAGCCATAAAGCAAAAGCAACTTTCAGCACTTTTTTTTTGGCTTTTTGGGTCACACTCAGCGATACACAGGAGTTACTCCTGGCTCTGCACTCAGGAATCATTCCTGGTGGTGCTCGGGGGACCATATGGGATGCTGGGAATCAAACCCAGGTTGGCCGCGTGCAAGGCAAATGCCCTGCCTGCTATGCTATCGCTCCAGTCCCAACCTTCAGCACTTTTAAAAAACACAGAGCACTGGAGTGTTTTGCCAATGGAAAAAGCATCTGTGATGTATGGGGGACATTTAAATGAACAACCAGGGGCTGAAGAGATAGAACAGTGGGTAGGGCTATTGCCTTGCAAGGAGCCAGCCAGGGTTTAATTCTCTGTACCCTTATGGTCCCCCCAGTCCCACTAGGAATTATCCCTGAGCACAGAACCAGGAATAAGCCCTGAACACTACCAGGTGTGACCCTTCCAAAATATAAACAAATAAACAATCAGTGAGTCCTTACTGGACCAAGAATAACAACCTTCCTGACAGACAAGTCTGATGAAATCTACACTCTATCAGGGCAATGCCAAGAGCAATTTTTCAAAAAGAGAGAAATGATAGCACGTGACATTGAGGCTCACTTGAGTGGTGGGGGCTCAAATGAGAGAAGGTTCCTTAGGAGATTTAAAAAAAATAATAACCTAGAAAATCCTCCTGATGGAATTGTTCATATGGGTTGAGGCAGGGAGGGAGGTAATGTTGTCTACACAACCGGACAACAGTGCCAGGATATATACCCCCAACCCAACACAGACAGTCCTGGTGATCAGTTACCCCTTTCACCCCCCCACCTCTTATTTCCAGTCAAAGTTAGAAAAATCCACTTGTAACTCAAATGAAGCAGGCAGGGAAGGGGGGGCAGGGAGAGGAGCAAAGGGCGATACTGTGATTGGAAAGTACAAGTGTACCAAAACAGATGCAAGTGAATTTTTATATCAGCGATAAACAATTTTTTTCATAGAAGCAGGTTGATGACATTGCATGGGGCATACTTAGGCTAACGAAGTATTTAGTATTGATCTGAAAGTCCAATTTAATTTAGGCATCTTGAAACTGGCTAAATCTAGCAACTCTACATAAAAGGAATAATCACAGTAACTTTCGTGGTGGCTGCTCAGCTGCCTTGTTTCAGCCTCATAGCAACACAACAAAGCCTGGATAGTTATTTCCCTTTCATAGACTTTGACTTGATAGTACCGAGTTGCTTGCCCATGGCAGTGAGGTGAAGCTGATACCAGGCCTGGGATGGGAACATCTGTCTTCCAACCCCATGGCTCACCTGATCAAGCATGGTGCTGTTGCCAGCCTCTCCCCCTACTAGCCAAAGACAGCATGTGCTCTGCAGATCTCCAGGGCCCCAGAACCAAACATAGCTAAGACCCAAGCTTTATGAACCCTTCCCACCAGACCCCAACTGAAGGTGCCATGTAAACTTTGGGTCCAAAATAAAAGAAGTGGAAATCATTTAAGTGCATTAACGGCCAGGATTGAGAGACTCACAAATGAATCTTGGAATCAAGCAGTTCGCTGCAGGGATGGCTCTAGACCTCAATTATTTAAACTTTTAGAAGCCTAGGAGTGTGCAGCCACAAAAGCAGCCACACAATATCTCATACTATTTTTTTCTTTTTTTTTTAATCACTGTGAGATAGACCCTTATAGACATCTTATACTATTCATAGCAAGCAATACAAAATAAATTATCTAGCATGTGCCTATAAGCAGGCTTAAATGGAGGTGGGAAACTTTCATATAATGGTGGTGGGAAGGTGTAGTGGTGGTGGGATTGGTGTTAAAATATTGAATGTAATTGATTATGTGAACAAATTTATAAAAATAAATTTTTTAAAGTGAAAATCAACAGTCCTGCCAGAAGGAAGATTCCTGGGGCCCAGGAAGAGGGCAGTCTCCCTTTGTTGGAAAAAAAGACCAAAGATAGGAACAGCTTCTGGGTCAAAACTCAGAAGCAGCAACATAGGTGGGGTGACAAAGTTCTGCGCTGGTCCACATGCCATCTTGTCTGGGGACAGAGACAAATGCATGAATAACCATAGGGGTGCCTTCCAGTTTGGGAAGAGTATTAGCCTGAATTTTACAAAATATGTTTCCGATGATATGGCACCCCAGCTTTCAGGAGAACATCTTCTAAAATAATCATAATGAGCATTTATTGAGTGCCTACTAAATACCAGGCATCATCCCAGATGCTCCCATTGATGTAAAACTACATCTGGGCATCTGTTATTTTTCAGACGAGGAAACTGAGATACCAAGGGGTGACTTATTTATTCAGTGAACACTCATTGCGCACACACCCCTTTACTGTTTACACTGACTGGGGATACAGCAGTGAGCCAAATAAAATTCTTGCCTCCATGGGGATCCCGATCAAAATTTTAAAAAATTCTATCAGGTTAATATTTCAGGTAACAATGCTACATGCAATAAAGTAAAGCAGATTCAAGGAATCTCCAGAGTGGTAGGGGTGGGGTAGTTTAGCTAAGGTGGTGAGGGAAGATGCCTGGAAGAAGGTAACATTTGAGCAGAAGTGTAAGGGGAGCAAACAGGTATGCATAGGTCCAGGGAAGGGTTTATGAGGCCAAGGGACAACCAGAACAAAGCATAACTGACATATAATCAAGATAAGGCAACTAGACGAAGCTGGTGAAAGAGGGTGGAAATGATAGAAGAAGCACTTAGAGGGAATAACAAAGGCAGCGTATTTTAAATGATCACTGCAATATGGATAAATATATGGCTAAGTAAGTGGCCTCATGACTAGGTGAGCATCTGCATGGAAAGATGGATGGATAGACATATGTGTATGTGGGAGAGTGGAGGGATGGATGGGGTGAATGGATGCATGGATGGACAGATGGAAGGATGGATGGATGGATGGATGGATGGATGGATGGATGGATGGATGTGTGAATGGATGGGTGGAACAAATGGGTGGGTGGATGGAAGGATGGATGGTGGATTGTCAGATAAAATGATAGATGGATGGAAGAACAGGCAGAAAAATGGGTGCTTGGATGGATGGGTGGGTGGGTGGATGGATGGATTGATGGATGGAAATATCTATGAATAGATGAATGTGAGAGATAGATGGATATTGTAGATAAATATATTTCCATGGCTTATTTTAGATTGATATGGCACACAGATAAGAATATAAATTAAAAATATATTCTATGGTGCTGGAACAATAGCACAGTGGGTAATGCATTTGCCTTGCACGACGCCAACCCAGGTTTGATTCCCAACATCCCATCTGGTCCCCTGAACACCGCCAGGAGTAATTCCTGAGTTCAGAGCCAGGAGTACCCCTGTACATCGCCAGGTGTGACCCAAGGGGAGGAAATGATATATATATGTATGTGTATATATATATATATACATATATATTCTATGAACACACAAGTTGGTCAAATACGCCTGATTTTCAGTTCCCAAGTAATCAGTTCCCTCCAGGGGACCCAGCTAGACACAATCCTTAATGAAATAAATCCCCTGTAGGAGGATCTTGACTTGGAGTTCCAAAGGCAGCCCAGTCGTCACCCCAAGGAACCATTACTCAAAGGGATGAAGAGCCAGGAAAGACGCTCTCGCTTTTCATCTCAAACTAGATCATTCTCCATAGGGCAGAGACACATCCTCCCTGGTCCCCTCACTGCTGGGGATGAGGCACTAGCTCTACCCAAACACCTCCTCCAGTCCTGGGGCAAGAAAATCTGGTTTGTCTACCAGTAAGGCACAAGAAAGGGCCACCTGTGAGAACAAAGCCAGGGCATTCACAGGTGACCGGATGGCCAGGAGCCCACCCCCTTCCTAGGTCGCATGATCACCACACGCCAACCTCACCTCCAAATCCTTCTCCAGCTCCAGCCCAGCCTCCATCAGGTTGTGCTCAAACTCCTCTCGTTGCTCCTTCCTCACCTCCTCCTGGGCATCTAGTGGCCCCAGTTCAATGTCCCCCTGGCCCCCAGCATGGGCCTCTTTGCCCGTTTCCCCATTGGAGACAATGGCCGCGCCATGGCCCGGGGAGCCTGGGTGAGCCCCACGTTTCCGGTAGTGGTAGGCGAGCACATAGTCCACCTTTCTCTGGTTGTCGTAGAAGTGCATGCGGCTCTGACGGGCCTCCGAGGACCTGGGGTCATTGACATCCAGGTAGTTATTGATGACCTGGACAGAGACAAGAGAACAGGGACAGCAGGGTCACATGAGGCCAGGGTGAGAGGCAGAAAAGGCAAGTTGGGTGCCCTGGGCACAGGAGATGCCCTAGGAAGACACGCTTCTGGGCTCAGAGGACCCAGGTGCCCCCGAGAAAGAACAGAGCGGTCCAAGCTCATGGGTCACAGCCAACCCACCTAGCCCTCCACCACCCAGCCTGGGCATCATCAGTGCCCTCAGGCCTGCCCCAACCTACAGACACACACTATGCATGCACATAGCAGTTTCCACATGCGGCTGCACGGATACAGAGTCCCGTGTTCACACCTGCTCCACACAGCTGGCTCGGTTTAGAATACACGCACACACACACACACACACATCCGCACGCACACGCATACACTCACACATACACACACGCACAAGCACGCACACCAAACACACACATGCACACACACGCACACACATACACACACACGCACACACATGCATGGACACATACACACACACGCACGCACATGCACTCATGGATGCATACACACATGCACACGTGTACACACACACGCCCACACACACATACACCTACACATCCCCAAATGCACTGCTGCACACAGCAACCCCTCCACGCCCCAGGGCACCCCTGTCCGGTCCCCACCACCTTGCTGGTCTGGACCCTGTGTGCAGACACTGCAGGCTACACAGCCCATACGTACCGGCAGACGCTCTGGATCCATTGGAACAAAGGCCGGTGCCTGATGGCCTGGCCCACCACACTCTCACCCCACGGGATGCACTAGACACAGTGCCCCTCACAGCTCCACATCCTCCTCCTCCTCCTCCTCCACCTCCTCCTCCTCCACCTCCTCCTCCTCCTCCTTTTCTCCAGCCACAGACCCGGCCAGAGATGCCGGGCACTGAGCCTGCTCAGGCTGCTTCTGGAGGTGGGTGGAGAAAGAGCGAGGTGGAGAGGAGGGGAGGGGCCACTTCTTCGCTCCCTTTGGGTGTTTCCCTGTTTATTATGCCTTGATACCCAGCTGCTTGGCCGCCACCTGAGAGATCACCTGGGCAACCAGGTGAAGTGTCGGGCACAGGGGACTGCTCAGAGCCACTGCGGCAGAGGCCCAGCTGCGAGGGCCTGCAGGAGTCTGTGGAGGTCCTGGTTCTCATGTGTCCTCCTGCCCTGAGTAGCCTCGGACTGGAGGACCCTAGGGGTGTTGGGACACGATCATGGAGAGACCCTAACACACACACACACACACACACACACACACACACACACACACACACACTGTCCCCGACATAGAGAGCATCCCATCAAGAGTATCCCTGGGGTCCCCCAAGGGAGGGCCACACCCCAGCCCCCATACTCACAGAGCTAATACTCCTTCCACTGACCAGCCAGCCAGGTGCTTTGGGGGAACGGCCCGGGGTGCCCATGACTTGGGGAGTCGGTGCCTTGAGGAGCTGCTGTCCAGATTGAGGGTGCTGGGCCCCTCTGGCTGCTGCCCGTGGGCTCGGCCGGCGTGGGGAGCCAGGTAACATGGGGATATCTGTTAGGGCAAAGACCGGGAGGCAAAAAGCTTCAGGGAATGCAGACCACGGGCAGGAAGAAACGAGGGCACCGGGGGACAGAGAGATGTGTGTCTCCTATGGCTGCCTCCCGGAACCGTCCTCAGCCCCTCTGAGCCAGGCCCACCCTGGCCACAGCACAGGAGAGAATGAAGGAAGATCAGTGGGATCTCCGCCACACACACACACACACACACACACACACACACACACACGCACATCACACACATCAACACATGCATATATAATGCACAAGTGTTTGCGCACATGAAGACACATGTGTACAAATGTACTTAGTGGGGCACCCCCGATAGAGACTCCTTGAATGAACAGCAAAGGTCTGAGGGTCCAACTGGACCAGCTGGCACCCGGGCCAACCCCACACTCATCAGGAAGAGAGGACAGACCAACTGTGAGCTTGCCAAGAGCAGGGGTGACCTCAAAAAAAAAAAGACTTCTCCCTGCTTTGAGGGGTCTCCACACACCTGCTGTCCCCACCACACCTCCCTGAGCCCCTCTGTTGGAGCAGCCTCCCCACAATCTGCAACGGCTGCCAGCAGCACCCCTAAAGAGAGTGGTACCCAGAGGGTGCTGGACTCCCACACTACAGAATTAGAAGGGGGGATGGAGCAATAGAAGAGCGGGGAGGGAGTTTGCCTTGCACACGCCTAACCTAGGTTCGATCTCCAGCATCCCATATGGTCCTCCAAGCACCACCAAGAATAATTCTTAAGTGCAGAGCCAGGAGTAAACCCTGAGCATCTCCAGGTGTGACTCAAAAGGCCAAAAAGCTAATAAAAAAAATAAAAAGAAGAGGTTGAGGGCTAAGATGCTCCAATAGACAGACTAAGCACAACAAGGCCACACACACCATAATCCCTTCTAAGGAATATTCTCTTCCAGCAGCTGGAACTTCATCTCTGGCACCAGCTAGCTCTGAGACCTCTTGGAGCCTGTTTCTTCTACTGGAAAAGGAGGAAATCGATCCCAAATTCACAGGATTACAGTGATAAGGAGAGCAAGAGCTCTACGTGCAGACCCCAAGGGTAGACTGTGTGTCTATGGGTGTGCACTAAAAGGTGTTACAATTGCTCTTATTATTTTCATGTTAAGCTCCCTGTGGATGAAAGCTACACCTATCACACTCAGCTCAGTCCACAGGGCCTGCAGGATGAATGAATGAGTGAATGAATGAAACAGCCCAGGAACACCAGAGAGTTGGCTTTGTCTCGGTCACTGACCACGTGGTGATGCAGTTTCTGATAGGGGCGCAGCCCCTGCCGGACACTTGTGAGTGGTCTTGGACCTGGGCTCTCAGTATTCTGAAATCTGAGTCTTCCAACAAGCAGGTGGAGGCGACATGCAGGAAGCACAATGATGGCCAATGACTAAAGTCTTCATCTCTTAGTTCAAGTGTGAGCTCTGGTCGCTACTGTAGGAGCCCAGGAAGGCTGGACAGCGACAGCAACCTTCCAGAGGAACCACACTTGATGCTTGGAAAGATGAGTGTCTCCCACAAGACATTCCCTAGGGACAGGGCACAGAATGGCGTGTTGAGAGTGATGGGGGCGTTCCCAGCTTAAGGCATTCAGAGAGATACTTCCTTCCCTGCTCTCCACGTTCCTTCCTTGCCCAAGAATAAAAACTGTCTCCTCGGAGCTCCTGGTACTGTGCTGAAAAAGACCTTGGCAACCCTGCCGAGGAACTGCACAGGTGCTAAAGATGATACTTACTCAAGGCCCGTCTATCTCCATGGACATCAAGATCCATGCTTACAACCTTGACTTGGGACATCCCAGAGTCAATGAGCCCAAAGCATTAGCCAACCCATGACCAGGAGCCACATCCTTTACCAGTGCCACCTGGGCTCAGAGTTGGCTTCCAGGGTTCCCTGAGCTCTCCCAGAGGTGCCCTCTGCTGCTTTCTGGTGCCTAGATCATGGCTGTCCACTGTCATGGCTGCTCTCTGACCAATCCACACTCAACACCCAGTGCATGGTGTGTTCACTGCAGTTCTAGAAAGCCATGGCAGCCCATGATGCGCCCCCCGCCATGCCAGATTGCTGATTTAAATCATGAGATGAAGGGAGAAGGGAGGTGTGTGAGTGGGACTGGGCATTCGGGAAGAATAGAACTAGGGAATATGCCCAAAGGGAATCACAAAAGTTCTGAGAAGAGCGGAAGCGAGGTTGGTGAGACCTAAAGGGCACTGTTGACCATCTGTGGCCCATGTTCCTGTGGAAATCTTTGTTCCTTTGTTGCCCATTCACCGAATTCTCAGCACCTCTGTATGGAACATCAGATCCTTATATACTGGTGGTTTCACCTCCTCTTGGGCCATGAGGGCCATAGGTAGGCACATGCTTCCCCATTGTTCGTCCATCAGAGGAATCTCACAAGGCTTGAACTGGACTCCTCTTCACTCTTTCCCTGGGCTCACTTAATTATCACCTACATGTACATGATTCAGAATGTTACCTCATCCTTCCTCCAACCCCTGGCTCCATACACTCCAGCTCACCCCAGCCTGGTATCTCCACTTACATGCTTCAGATCCTCTTGAAACCAACACATCTGAAAGCCAGGTTATGCTGTCCCCTGCAGCATGATTCTTTCTCAGCTCTCCCTCTTGTGATAAATGCGTCCACCAGGTACTCAGCAGTCCGTGAGCTAGAAACTGAGCCTGATAGCTTCATTGTCTCTTACCCAATTTGTCACCAATCCGATGACGGATTTCTTGGGTTTCTCGCAAGAGTGTCTGTTCTTCATCATATCCAAGTCACCACTCATGGGCCAGAGAGATAGTGCAAGGAGGCAAGGCACTTGTCTTTCATGGACCAACCCCAGTGCAATCCCTGGCACCCTACAGGGTTCCCTGAGCACCACCAAGAGTGATCTCTGAGCACAGAATCAGAAGTAAACCCCGAGCATCGCGAATTATCATCCTAAAATCCAAAACAAAACAAAAGCACCACTCTTTTCAAAGCTTGGAGACAAGAGATAATACTGCAGGTAAGGTGCTTGTCTTGCATGTGGGAGACCAGGGTTCAATCTCCAGCATCCCATATGGTCCCCCAAGCACTGCTAGTAGTAACTCCTAAGTACAAAGCCAGGAGTAACCCCTGAGCATCTCCAGGGGTGACACAAAAAGCAAAAAAACAAAGAATATAGGGGCTGGAGCGATAGCACAGCAGGGAGGGCGTTTGCCTTGCACACGACTGACCCGGGTTCGATTCCCAGCAACCTATATGGTCCCCCGAGCACTGCCAGGAATAATTCCTGAGTGCATGAGGTATAATGCACATAATATAGGTATAACCCCTATACATCGCCAGGTGTGACCAAAAAAAATAAGAATATATATATATATATATATATATATATAGACATTCAGTGTTACTGATCCTTTTCTACATTGTTTTGGGGTCACACTGGCAATGCTTAGGATCTATTCTGGACTAGTGTTTGGGGGTCGCTCCAGTCAGTATTTAAAGGGCAGGGGCCATGGGGATAGGAGTCCTCCTCACTTCACACATGACTCCATGTAAGACTGAGCAAGATCAGAGGGCAGCTCTACCTCCCACCCACCTCATCGATACTGACCACTAATCACTCCTACTCCTTCACTCTCAAAGGGGTGCATATAACCACATTACCCCTCCCTCCATCCCACCCAAAACCCCTCCATGACCTTCCGTGACCAGGCCAGAGTTCTGACAGTGACCTGCAAGCTGCTCCAAATATTCCCCAGCCCAGTCCCTGTTCTCCTTCCCACTGACCCACCTCTTTGACAGTAGGGTTTTTCTGTATGGTTGTACTAGTTTGAGAGGAAGTGGAGGGCACAGGGGCAAAGGGAGTCAAGTCTGGCCATAAACAGTAGGTTAAAAATAATAATAATAATGAGGAGAAGGAAGGACATGGGGGAGAGGATGGTCCCTTCTGAGTATGGAGGGTGGGGAACAAAGGGAGGAGAGCATGTTCTGGTCTCCATCAACACAATGGGAGCACCTGCAGCTCCCCTGAGTGCAAGGCGAGGGTCAAGCCTCTCAGTCAGGCTGAGATAAGAAGCACCAGGTAGTGGCTGGACCACAGATGAGCTGCATCCAGTCAATCTAGCTACAGTGAACCACTGCAACCACGAAGTGCTCCTTGGTGCTCTACGCCCCCTCCATCCCCAGACCTGGCCATCCACATGCTATGCATGGCCACAAAATCAGGAAAATCTTGGATTGTTCTGAGTTTCATTT